CCTGAAACACCCCCAAAACACCATAAAACACCCCTGGAATACCTCCAAGTACCCCAAAATACCCCTGAAACACCCAAAAAATACCACTGAATATCCCCCAAACACCCCCCAACAGCTCTGAATACCCCAAAATACCCCAAAAGGGAGGGGGGTTGTTTTGGGGGCGCGTTTTGGGGCGAATTCCGGCGTTTTTGGGGCAGACCCGCACCACCGCGAGCTCTACCTGAACAGCAGCGACTTCCTGGCCGTGCTCAACGACGAGCGCCTGAACCCCAACGCCAGCGGTGAGCGCCCCTATGGGGAGCCCTGGGGCGCCTATGGGGGCCCTATAGCGCCTATGGGGAGCCCTGGGGCGCCTATAGGGGCCCTATGGTGCCTATGGGGAGCCCTGTGGCGCCTATGGGGAGCCCTATGGAGCCTATGGGGAGCCCTGGGGCACCTACGGGGGCCCTATGGCGTCTATGGGGAGCCCTATGGCCCCTATGGGGAGCCCTGGGGCGCCTATAGGGGCCCGTATGGTGCCTATAGGGGCCCCTGTAGGGGGAGCATGGGGGGGCTCTAGCGGGGGCTATAGGGGGTGCTGCGGGTGGGGGAGGGCTATGGGGCTATAGGGAGGTCTATAGGGGGCTGTAGGGGGCTATAGGGGCTACAGGGTGGTCCGTAGGGGGTTATAGGGCGGTCCGTAGGGGGCTATGGGGGGCTCTGTAGGGTGCTGAAGGGGCCATAGGGGGTGCTGGGGAGGCCTATAGGGGCTATAGGGAGGTCTCTAGGTGGCCATAGGGGCGGGGGAGGCCTATAGGGGGCTATGGAGGGGGTCTGCATTGGGGTAGGCAGAGCTATGGAGGGTATAGAAGGACCAGGGAGACCTATAGAGGCCTTGGGGGGGCTGTGGGGGCCTATGGGAGCTAGAGGGGCACCCATAGGGGCCTTGGGGTTCTATAGGGGCATCTATAGTTGGTTTGGGGTGCTATAGGGGCATCTATAGGGGGTCGTGGGGACCATAGGGGCATCCATAGGGGCCTGGGG